AGGATTAAATGAGATAGTTTTTAGGAGAGGCCCCCCTCACAGTGCCTGGTGCATAGTGAGCGCTCAAAAATGGTGTTTTGGTCATGATTGTACCTTCCAGCCACCTGCTTCTGAGTCCTGGTCACTTCCGTCATTCCTACATTACCTCATCTCTTCCCTTAATCCTACGTACCACCTCTTCCTGAGGACAAGAATCTTGTCATGGATGTGGTCTTCCCCATACCTAGCCCAACGACTGGAGCCCAGCACAGCTCAACTGGAGTATGTTCAGGAAACAAACGTGTCCTTCCTGATGAGTCTATTTGAGGGAAGTCGTTTCCTTCTGTTCTCCCTGCCTCTCTTGTCCCCTCCCCTCAGCCTGGGTGGAAGAGCAGCCTGTTCTTCCCAAAATGTCCCTGGTCCACTGCAGCTGGAGAGCTGGTACAGAAGCTGAAGTCACCTATGAGCCAGCCCAACGACTGGAGCCCAGCACAGCTCAACTGGAGTATGTTCAGGAAACAAACGTGTCCTTCCTGATGACTCTATTTGAGGGAAGTCGTTTGCTTCTGTTCTCCCTGCCTCTCTTGTCCCCTCCCCTCAGCCTGGGTGGAAGAGCAGCCTGTTCTTCACAAAATGTCCCTGGTCCACTGCAGCTGGAGAGCTGGTACAGAAGCTGAAGTCACCTATGAGCTCCCTGGAGCCTTACTCCTGAACAAAGGGGCAGGCTTCCAGGAGTAAAGAAGCTGGGGTCACTGCAATGTAAACTAAAACAGAAACTGAAATTAGAATTAGTACTTTAGTCTTGAAGAACCCTAGGCTCAGAGAAATTAAGCCAATTGCTCTAGTGATACAACTAATTTGATCATTCATTTATACATGCAAAAGGATAAAATGTTGAACAAATACCAGGTAAGTTTCTTGTCCTCTTGAATCTTAAAATCTAGTACAGGGGTCAGTAAACATTTTTTATAAATATTTTTTATATTTTTTATGGGTCATAGGGTCTCTGTTGCAACTACTTAATTCTGTGTTGTCCTATGAAAGCAAACACAGACAATACATCAATGAATGGTGTATCTGTGTCCCAATAAAACTTTATTTACAAAACAGATGATGGGCCAGATTTGGCTTGCAGGCCCTATTTTGTCAGTTGGCAGAAAAGGAACTTGCTGATGAAATAATTTCATGATTAAGTAAATTTATGTCTCAAAATGAGACAAGTGATTCTGGGAACATAAAATAGGAGGACCTGGGAGTCAGAGAAGGTGCTCATGAAAAGTTGCATTTTAGTGAGGTCTGAGGATGAATAGTCATGAATTTGGCAAAAGGTGGGGGAGGCACGGAAAGGAAGAAGTGTTCCAAGCTGACAGAATGGCTGGTACAAAGGCCCTTTGCAGAAGGGAACATGGCTTTTTTCAGGTATTGAAATAAGGCTTGGGTACAAGAGGGAGGACAGGAGAAGTCAGGAAAGACCAGCTCATTCAGGGAGGTGATTAAGACCAGAGGGTAAGGATCTAGTCTTCATGCTGAGAGCCACAGGAAACCACTGTTCTCATGACATGATTGGAATTTTGTTATGACATGCTCGCTCTGGTTTCCAGCTGTGGATCCCACTGTCAGCAGCCAGGGGAGATTGTGGATGCCCTGGAGTACTTTGTTGCAGTCAGAGCTCATCCCTGAGACCCAGGGTTGATGTGCAGCTCAGCACCCTTCCCCCACCAACGCTTTATTTTATGTTTGCTATTCTAACAAACCTTCCCTTTCCTTCACTTCCAAACAAAGATTCATATTGCATTATGCATTGACGCCACAACTCTATCCCATTCCATTTTTCTCTCCTTTCTTCTTTCTCTCCCCAGCCCGATCCCCCACTAACTTTGTAAGACTTGCAAGTTATATTTTTCAAAGACTGTTTCTGACAAAGCAGCGGGAATTAGATTTGGTGAAACCCTTCATAAAAAATTGAAGACACGCTATATTAACATACATTGATTTATTCATAGTGTTTCATTATAAGTAAGTGAGGATCCTGTAATACCAAGAAAGGTTAGGAGAGCAGGGGAGCACAGTATATTATATTGACAGCTCAGTAGAAATTGAGTTGCTTTTGGATTGAATTTGGAGCACAGGAGAGGAACCGGCTAGTAAATAAGGCATGAGGTTTACCTCCCAGTATCTGTATATCAATGTAGTTGCCCCCAGTCTAGGCAGGGGGATTGGGACAGAATTTTTAAGAATGAAAGGGTATGTTCTGTCCTCTGGAGTGCTGGGGTTAGTTGCCACAGGTGGAACTCAATGAGCATCTTCCTTCCTCTGCTGCCAGGGAAAACTGGAATCCACCACAAACTGAAAGCACAACTTACCTCTGCAGTCACACTGGACTTTTCTCTGTCCAAGCCTTTTCCCACCCCAAGCCTTTGCCCAGGCAGTTCCCTCTGTCTGGAACCTAGAAAAGTCTTTCCTCTGCTCTGACTCCAAAGCATCCTTTAGGTATTAGTTCCATTCTCTCCTGAGATACCTCCCTGGTTCTTTGTCTTCTCTAAGCAGACCCTGAGACAAGGATTCGAATATGAGCAGATTACTGAGAAGTTTAGAAAACACCATAAAGGGGTAGGAAGTAGGGAAGAGAAAGGAAGTTAGCCAATGATCAATATGTTTTCAAGCCAGCTCCCTTTGGAGGCAAGTGGAGCTGAATCCCTCAGGGAAACTGAGATGTTGCAGGAGTGTCACAGGATGGAGCCTGGGGAATTCATGCATCAATTCGCATCACTTGCTGGGGTGTTGATTACCGGGCCCCTCAGCCAGCACCCATGGAGAAAGCCCATGATAGGCTGCTTTTGCCTTTGAGAAGTGCCCACCAGAGCAACCTAAAGCTAGTGGCCACCTGCACTACAGATACACCTGTTCAGTCTCTGCTTGCAAAACTCCCAAAGCCTTCAGGTCCCCACATTTTTCCTCCTGGACTCGCTCTGCTCTAGGCCAAGTCTGGCCTCTCCACTTGATGGTGTGGCTTTAATTGTTACACCACTACTGCTTAACACACGAGAGAGAAATCACCTCTTTCTCCAAAATGTTTGGTGCCATTACCAGAAACAGCAAAATTGCTTATTTTTGAAGTAAAATTGGTATGTTCTCTTTTCTGCCTGGATTTGGCCATGTTATAAGTATGGGGCATTTTTGACAGAAGATAAAGTGATGTAAGCTGTCTGTACAGCTGGCTTAGCTCTCTCTAGAATGGAAGCCATGTGAGGTCAGGGCCTGGCTTGTATCCATTATCCCAGGGACACACAGTGCAGGGAGTGTCCTGCACCATCTAGTGCAGGGCCTAGAATACAGGATGCAGGAAACGTTTGCAAGGGATCAAACAAGTGAATGAATGAATGCATTCTTCAACTAATGAACTGCGCGCATGCAGGTAACGTTTGCAAGGGATCAAACAAGTGAATGAATGAATGCATTCTTCAACTAATGAACTGCGCCTCCAGGCCAGGGCGGCATAGCATGGAATAAGGAGCACGGGCTTTGGAATCATGCAGGCCTCGGTGTAGACCAGTGTTTGTGACAGATTATTGAATAGCATGAGAATGCATGATTTACAACTGCACATGACAACACAGGTGAATCTCACAAACATAATGTTTATAGAAAGAAGCTAGACACAAAAGAGAACATTCTGTAGGATTCCATTTATATCAGGTTCAAAAACAGGCAAAACTCATCTATGCTGTTAGAAGTCAGACAGAGGAGACCCCTGCTGGGGGGAGGCAGGTAAGATTGGAAGAGGCATGAGGGGAAAGGACTGGGTCTGGGAATATTCTGTTTCTTGATTATATGACTGTCTGGTTTGCAAAAATTTATTGATCTGTATACTTCTTTCTATGTATATATTACTTTACTAAAACATTTTTAATAGAACAAATTAGATAAAAGAAACAAGCAAAAAATCCCATGTCTGTCACTTAGCAACTGTGTCATTTAGAGATGCAGCATTCAAGTGTGATCACAAGGCCAGTGCCAGGCTACAATTTGTTGGTTGCTTTCACTGCAGTTTAAATATATTGAGAATGAACACTTCTAAACTTTTCTACTACCTAAACATTGGTGTGCCACCCATGAGTGTGATCAGCAGACAGTGGACATGGATCATTGCACAGAGCATAGACGGGCTTTGTTATTGCTGAACCCACACAATGTCACGTGGGATGTGGTCTTCGAATTATTATCAGTCTGCAGTGGATTGGAAAACACCATTAAGATAAACTATCACCATAGATAATTTGAAAAGCATTGATTTAATGCAAGTTGCTTCCAGCTGAGCCCCAGTTTCCCTGTCATTAAAATGAGAATAACTATCCTGATGGCCCAAGGTTTGGGGAAAGACAGACAAGATAATGCATGAGAAAGCACCAGACAGCAAGCGCCATGTGGAGTGTGGGACCCATGGTCTGCATTTTTAACAAGTCTTGTAAATAATTCTTATCAGGACACTGCACTTGGATGCTGCTCAACAGCTGCCCTACCCAATACGGTGGCCACTAGCCACGCAGAGATACAGCACTTTTGAAATGTGGCTAGTCCTAATTGAGATGTGCTATAAGGATAAAATACATAGCAGATCTCTAAGACTTAATATGAATAATAGAATGTAAACTAGAACATTAAAATTTTTTATGTTGATTACAAGTTGAAATGATAATATTTTGAATATATTGGGTTCAACAAGATAATTAAAATTAATTTCACTTTCTTTTTTAATTCTTTAATGTGACTGCTAGAAAATTTAAAATGATGTATGTGGCTCACGTTCTATTTCTAGTGGACAGAACTGCTCCAGCGTGTTCGCAGTGGATTGTTTGGAGGCTGGATTCATCTGTAGAGTGGACAGTAACAGGCAGCTTATCAGAACTTGCAGACCAACCTCACATGCCCTCTCCTTTCCTCCCCTGGTGTACCTACAAATGGGCTCCATCCAGATTTCTGAGTGAAGTGCTTATTGATTTGTTTGCTGGTTTGTCACACAGATCAATTACAAGGCTGTTGGCTCACTGGACCCCAGTGCCGACCTCTCCAGCCAGAGGGGGAAGGTGTTCAAGCTCCGGAATGAAACCCACCACCTCTTTGTGGGTCTGTACCCAGGGACCACCTACTCTTTCACCATCAAGGCCAGCACAGCAAAGGGCTTCGGGCCCCCCGTCACCACTCGGATCGCCACCAAAATTTCAGGTATCTCTTCTAGATAGGGAAAAGGAAAAATGGTTGCTCTCCCCCCTCCGCCCTATTCCTAATTTTCCTGGGAGTAGAAAGAGGCAGAACCAACTGTCATTGTGTGATATCAGAGCAATTAGGACCACACAGTCCCTAGTGGGTTACCATCATATTCTCATGAAGAAAACCTAATCGATGATCTTCCTAAAGTGTAAAAAATATATTAATTAGGTGGCAAGTCAGCAAGTCACCAAATAACTTGCCTAACTTGCCACATGGTTGCATTAAATAGTATACATATATTTTTTTTTCCAGGAATTTTTTTTGCCAGTGCAAACACAGGCTCTCATGAAATGTCTGATGAATTAATGAATGAATTAATGAGTGAATGAGTGAATGAATGAATGAATGAATGGTTACAGAGGCACAGCGGTCCAAGATTGCAAAGTGCCATTACCAGTCAGGGCCCCTTCACCACTAGACAACATCAAAAGCAGATGATCTCAGAACCCCTTTTACACCTTTCATTTTTCAGAATATCTGTGCAGTTCTGCTCTGCATACATACATATTTTGCACTTGGTTCTGCCAAAAAACCACAGTGCTTTTGGGGGCTTTGTGTTTGTGATCACTTACACTTATCCAATAAGCATTTCCGATGGTGCACATTGCCTTCATTATAATGGTCTGTCAAGTAGATGGACATAATTTAATCAAGTATTCCCCCGTGGTAGGATATATTTGGTGCTTCCACATTTTTGTAAAATAACGCTTCAGTAAACATGTTACAAAATAAAGTTGAAGTCACTGATTTGAAGTGTAACTTTAGGATTAAATTCAGAAACTGAAAAACTGAATTGAAGGGATGTGGGTTTTAATACCTTTTAATAAGGATGGCTAAATTACCTTCCCAGAGGAGTGGATTTTGTCACACTCCTATCAGTTGTGTATGAGAGTTGAGGGGGGCTCATGAAAAAAAATAAAAAGGTAGAGGGGAACTAGTTCATCTCTACTTTAATTTGCATTTTAAATGTGTTTAACAAGGTTGACTCTGCTTTCATATCTTCTTTAAGTGCTTATAGTTCCTGCATATGCCTGCTTATTTGGTGTGGAACTTTGGGTTCATGCAGGTTACTGGCCACCTCATTGCCACCCTTCCCCAGACTCTTGCACCTTGAAGAAACCTGTGGGCAGGTTGGAAGTCACGACCTCCTTTGCCGAAAGCCTCAGACGCCCTGTGATTCCCATCCTCCCTTTTCTGGTTGTCCTAGGTGTCTTTAAGGCTGGCGTCAAGGGGAGGTGGTAAGCAAAGTTTAGGACCTGTGCTGTGTTCACCTCCTCTCTCTGTTCCCTGCCCAGCTCCGTCAATGCCCGAGTACGACACAGACACCCCACTGAATGAAACGGACACAACCATCACAGTGATGCTGAAGCCGGCTCAGTCCCGGGGAGCCCCTGTCAGGTAAGGAGGTTCTTCACCTGGAGTTTGCAGTTTTCCCTCCCTGCACCATACACACTTCCTGTTGAATTGCATAGCTGGCAGTGCCCATGGGCAAGACTGGGTGGGAGCAAGGCTTCCTGGAACGAAGAGGATCAGCAGTCCCAAGCCCAGTTTAGAGGAGGCCTCTGAGCTAGGATCCTCCCACCCTGCAATGGGATATTCAAAAGGAACATGGTGATAAGGATCTGAGACAGTCTAGAAGAGAACTTTCTGGAACACACATACAGTTTAGAGGAGGCCTCTGAGCTAGGATCCTCCCACCCTGCAATGGGATATTCAAAAGGAACGTGGTGATAAGGATCTGAGACAGTCTAGAAGAGAACTTTCTGGAACACACATATGGTAAATTTAGTTGGTGGGGTTGGGGGCCTGAAACACAGTCTCCCAGCAAGATTAAGTTACTGCCAGCCAGTTGCAGACAGACTTGCTGAGTTCTGAAAACAACCTGCTCAGAGGTTACAAGTGGAACAAGACCCAGGAGCTGGTGCAGTTCAGCACTGTAGAGTGCTTGAGTCCCACAGGGGCACTTGCCATCAAGGCAACACTGCTGATTTTAACAAGAGCTTGTTGCAGTTCAGGACATATTGATGCCCAGGCAGCAAAAGCGGCTCAGTAGCTAAGCAGACAAGTGTAGGTTCATGGAAACCATTCTCAGGGTTAAATCAGATTGTGTGTTTGTGAACCTCTGAGAACTCACTGGAAGTCAGCTGAACACAAATGGGAGTAATCATCAACCTTTTTTTTTTTATGGGCAACTACTATGTTCCAAGAACCTAATCCTAACCAACTTTTGAGTAGTGTTATTATCTCCCTCTTATGAATGAGGAAGATGAAGTTCAAGGTCCCAGAGTAAGTGAACGATGGAGTCAGGGCTCACAAGCAGTACTGCCTGACCCCAGAAACCAAGCTCCCTCCCACTCCCCAGCAAAGGAGTGCTCTGAGCAGCCCAAACCAAAATGCATGCATAAACTTTTCCAGTTCCCACAAGCAGAAGCCCCTTACACTTTCCCTCTGAGCCTACATACTGGTTTGCTTGTCTAACAAGCTCATGCATCCTAAGACTGTGGCAAATTAGGAGGAGGGAGAAGGGTATGGAGGTGCCCCAGCAGCAGAGAAGAATGACAGTTGGCAGGAAGCAGAGGAGCAGGCAACTCTACAAAACAGACACGGGGACACAAAAATCGAAGAGGTCTCCATGCTGCAGCCCCTCACAGACATGGTATAAATTTCTTAGTCCTGGTTTATCCCAAAGTTGTGGATCTTTAACTTTAAAAAATCCTGCTAGTTTCCATTTAATGAGCAAGCATTTGCCATGTGTCCATCACGGTACATAACACTATCTGTCCTCACAGCATTGCAATAATAGTCTCCCCGTTTGCAGATCAGGAAATTGAGACAAACAGAAGGTAAGTGGATTGACCCAGGACACAAAGCAATCAAGTGGCAAAATTTAAACCCAGTTCGGATGACCCTCAGCCAGCACTCATTTCACTATACTATATCACCTCCTTAGGAGAAAGGTGTGCATAATGTATTTTGGTGACATTTCCATCACAAAAAAAAAATTAGAAGGAAAGAAATGTCACTGCTCAAAGGGGAAATGGTTGTGTCTGAAAATGTCTGGCTTCAAGGCTCTGGATCACTGAGGGTGGGTGTGCAAGGCTGTGGATCACTGAGGGTGGGTTTCTGGACTTATTTACAGATCATTGCTTGGGCATTTGCCAAGAATGGAAAGAGATTAACCAATGCCACCCAGCAAGACTTTCAGGACAACTGCAATGGCAGAAGTGGCCGTATCAGAATAGATTTAAGGTGGCCATATCAGAATAGATTTCAGTTACCTTAACCTTTTCTCACCTTGAACCCTGGGCACCAAGATGTGCCTATGGGAGGCAGTTGACCTTACATCATTCAACAAATATTCACTGAGCACTTGCTGTGTCCCAGGAAGTGAGCTAAGCAGTGGGGATATAGCAGGAAACAAGACAGACACACTCCTGCCCTCTTGAGGCTTATCATCCAGTAAACACTCATCTGAATGGGGCAGGAAGGTGGGGCATTAATTAAATAAGCAAACAAAATAATGAAATTGACAAAACAAATAAGATGATGTGTAGCCACAGGTGCAGAGACTGAATTGATGGAGCGGACCAGTAGATGTGCTGGAGTGATGAGCCCCACCCAGGAGGGTGGACCAATGTGGAATCCTGCAGGGTGGGAGGTGGATGCAACTGAGAAAACAACAAGGATGCTCTGTGACCCCAGGACTCAAGGTGCTCACGGGATGCACTGGGTCCAGGATGCTTTGATGTTATACAGTTGACAGTTCTGTGAATTAGAATTTACTTCCATTCTCTTATTTGATCCTCACTCCCCTGGTGAGTGAGCTAGCTGGGAAATATGATGTCCATTTCAGAAGAGGAAACTGAAGTCTAATATGTTAAGTGATAGGCCCAAGGTTGTTCCACATTGGGTGCCAAAAATGTCCCGACCCGCGGGATATTCAATGCAGACCCTGGAGTGGGGAGTGGGAATGGGATGGAACAAGAGATGCGAGAAATTGAGACAAGACAGTATTCTGAT